TTTTCAGACTCCCCTCTTTGGCAAAAATAGAAACAAACGAAGAATATATGGAACCTTCCCACATAGACAATGGGTTCAGCGGGTTCCTCCTCACGTTTCTTTACGACTTTTAAGCCATGTCGCCTTAATAATCTCAAAGAACAATAAGACAAATTTTTTAAGGAGAAAAGAAGTAAATGCTCAAGAATAAAGAGGGAAGAAAGGTATAAAAAGGAAGTGACTCTAGTTCTTACTATATTTATGTATTAACAATATAGAAAGAAAGGTGTTATATTTACAATCACATCACTCGCATGTAACACTCAAGTGTTTCCGCTCCCAAGATTCCAGTTTTACATGGAAGAAGTAAGCACGTCGAAGGTAGATTTCACTTCTTAAGGGAGAAGGTGAGTAAAGGAGAACTTGAAGTAAGACATTGCTCAAGTGAAGGACAATTGGCCGACATTTTTACCAAAGGATTGAAGATCGACAAGTTCCTAACAGTTGAGAAAGAAATTGGGAATAGTTCAGATCGACAATGATTAGTGTGTTTCAACAACTTGGATAATAGGGGGTATGTTGAGATATTAGATATAATCCAAGTTGAGTTGTGTGGCCCAAACCCAAAGCTAATTAGGGTTTAGTGTTTGTTATCTAGTTTGTTATTTTACTTAGTAGTCAAGTCACTTAGTTGTATATAAATAAATACTTTGTAATTCAGTTTTATTAATTCAATAATATCAATTCTTATTTTCTTATTCCCTCTCTTTCTCTCCATACTAAAAGCGTCTCACACACTATCACATATCGTCCGACTACTCAGTCACACTTCTAGAATCTTCTCCTAGCCACTCGACTGTCATGTACCTCGCTGCATGAAATCTATACCTTAAGCACATCCAATGATCCTCTGGATTATGCGCCTGAAAGATAGCGAGATCGTTATTCTTCTCCCTTATATTTAAGGCAAGCCTCTTTTTCAGGTAACAAGTTTCAAACACAATTTGAATACTCTTTACACTTTCACATACTCATTTGAGCGTCAGAGTGATAACCTCGTAGATACAACCCCATTCAGCCACATCGAAAATTCTACTCCGTCACAACATCAACATATCACTCTATTTATGATTCTGGAACAGAACAAAAACTACTTCATATATATATATATATATATATATATATATATATATATATATATATATATATATATATATATATATATATATATATATATATATATATATATATATATATATATATATATATATATATATATATATATATATATATATATATATATATATATATATATATATATATATATATATATATATATATATATATATATATATATATATATATATATATATATATATATATATATATATATATATATATATATATATATATATATATATATATATATATATATATATATATATATATATATATATATATATATATATATATATGAGAATCTTATTTTTATATGAGAATGATAAGAATAATCAAGAGCCTTTAGATTAAAAATAAATTGTTAAGATTGAAAAGTTCATTTAAGAAACATGTGTATCTCTTTCATCATTTATTATTCATATAAAAGAGACATACATGTTAATTAAAAGAAATTTTTAATATCAACTATTTATTTTTAATCTAAAAGCATTATTCTTATCATACTTATAGATATGCCCTATATATATATATATATATATATATATATATATATATATATATATATATATATATATATATATATATATATATATATATATATATATATATATATATATATATATATATATATATATATATATATATATATATATATATATATATATATATATATATATATATATATATATATATATATATATATATATATATATATATATATATATATATATATATATACTCTAGATCCTTTAAGTTATTTTATTGTAACAATGCATTTCTTTAGGTTTTTTTACTACAAGTTGATCCTTTATGTTAACTAACGTGTTCGTCGTTGGTCTTTTTCACATACTTCGTTGCAAAAACGCTTATGTGGCAATAACGACGCTTATGTGTGATTTAACAGTTCTGAATAGCCATATGTCTTATTATTTCTTAAATTTCTAACCAAACCTACTATTCATGTGTCATTTATCACAAAATTCCCTCACCTACTGTTCATGTAAACAAATAATAATTCTATTTTAATATTTATGAAAATATAATATTTATGTTCCTCTACTCCCATCGTCATTGACAATGGTGCTTCCTAATTACGTATTGGGTACTTTCTCTAACCCTAATTGCACTTCAAAAAAATGATACCCTAATTGATGTGTTTTTCAAATAATTTTTTACGGGATTGTGATTTTAACTTTATAATTCGTTCCTTTTGGTGATTTTTTAGATGGGCGGGTGAGGCTTTACCCCGTGTTATTTTCCGCAACATTGTTCAAAGACCACACCATAGAAATACTTTGATTGTACTCACTTTGGACCACCCTCAGCATTTGACAGCGGTGTTGTTTACCTGAACAGTGAGTGAGGGAGTTTTGTGATAAATGACATATGAACAATAGGCCTAGCCAGAAATATAAGAAATAATAAAAACAAATGTCTATTCAACACTGTTAAATGACACATCTGCGTCGTTACTGCCACATAAGTATTTTTAAAACGGAGTTTGTGAAAAAGGTCAATGGTGATCACATTAGTGAACATAAAAGACCAACTTGTAACGGAAAAAACATAAATAACTGTCTTGTTACAATAAAAATAACTTAAAGGATTCAGCGCGCACACACACGCACACACGTACACGCACACACACGCACGCACGCACACGCACGCGCACACACACACACACGCACACACACACACACACACATACACACACACGCACACACACACGCACACACACACACGCGCACACACACACACAATCTGATTATTATGACAATAAAATTTATTTTTGTGTTAAATATGTTTATGGTTCTCCTAAATATCTTAAATTTTGTTTTTAGTTCCTTAAAATATTTTTTTTTAAAAATGGTCCTCCTAAAATTTTCTCTCACACTTTTGGTCCTTAATATTAAAACTATCACTAATTTAGTCGCTAAATGACTAACCATCGTTAATTTTGTCGCTAAGTTGTAAAATCCATCGCTAAGTTGCAGAAGAGGCCAAAAATGTGGATTATAAATTTTATTAAGACCATTTTTTAAAGAAAATATTTTAAGAGACTAAAAACAAAATTAAAATATTTATGAGGATTATAATCCTATTTAATTCTATTTATTATTTTTACATATCTACTCTACGATCAATAATTAATGACTCAGTAACAAATTTTTCTTTTATAATTAAAAACTTAATAGATTATTCTTACCGAACATATTAATGCATATATGAAACATAAAGAGTGAATATTATACTCTAATTATTAAAATAGAAGAAGTAAGTACTAATTAAACAAATTAATGAAAACCCCTTTTTTTAAGGCATTGAATATACTTTTTTCTCATCTTGAAACAAAACATATATACTTGTTGATTACGCTTTCTACTAACTTTGCGGCTATGCGCTGCTTCCCTAAGTATAGATTTTACAGTCATTTCATGACAGTACCAAATATGGAACACAAACTAACACCACTTTTTCTTTAATCGAAAAGTTAACTTAGTAGAGATACAGACAAAAGTGATTGGTTAAAAATATTTGGACAGTATCACCACTATCACGGTGAGTAGTTGCCGCTACCTTAGCCCTTAAAAATTAAGATGATCTCTGCAATGTCCTGAGAATATTGATATTAGGACCACCGGACCAAGTGTTAAATTTCAAGCATTGATTGTGAAACTTATGTAATCTCAAACCATAAGGGTAAACTTTATTCTTTTACATTTAATAAAATGGAACTCATTTGAACGATATATGTTGAAGTTGTTTTAGTCTGGATGTTTTTTGGGAGTCAAAATTTTATCCTTTGGATTAGTTTTTATTTGAAGAGAAATAAATTCATTTTACGTGTATAAGTGTGGAAGTTAATTTGTATTGAAGTCTTACATTGTTTAAGTTTTCATTATTGTGATCTGATCACAAGATTCACAATAATGAGGTTTTAGGACAAGAAATAAATTAAACTGAATTGTTATTAATGCATAAGAATAAAAACCTAAGCAGGTATTTCATTTCAATATGCATTTAATAAATTTAGATTACCAGCAGCGAAAAATTGAATTAATTCAGAGATATAGCCAAAAGTGATCACTTGTCACTTCTTATAGTAATGTTTCTGTACTAATTTTGTACAAATTAGCATTTCTTTTATATAAAATTGTTATATAGTCCAAGACAAGCATATCGAATTCTTATATCTCTTCCAACACCTTGGCCTCCATAAATAACATCGCTTTGAACACTTCAACTCAAATATATCAACAATAAAACTATCAAAATTGCATGTTTGAAGGTTTTTGGTAAAAAATGGTGTGAACAGTAAAATTGATATCAGTACTTTTTAGGCATAAAAATGAAAATAATAATAATCCCCACGGAAATGTATGCCCAGAAACATATGTTTGTGTGTAAACAAGAAAATGACACTTCACTGCAACCTTTTCAGTGTCTTCTCCAAAACCCTAATTTTTTTTCTATCATTACAATTACTACTTGCAATTCAGAATCATAGCCACAAAAACAATCACAAATTAATTAAATCAATCAACCAAAAATATTTATTAAAATTAACCCCCAAAAGCCCAACCAAAAACAAAATCCATTTATAGTCCTATCAATTTCATGTAAGAGCTAGCTGGACGTGGTGTCTCAATCATCAAGAAAATTACAGGACACTAACTTCTTTTGCATTATACACTGCAAAAGAGAGAGAACAAATTAATATATAAGAGTACTTGTAGGAATTTATAGTTGAATATTCTTCACACACGCTAAAATGAATTAATAACTTCAAATATAAATAAATATTCATCCATTTATATATCTATGCTATAGCTATAGATTTTTCATGTGGGTAAAGGCTTGTTCCCCAGACGTAGCTCAAGATCGAGTTCTTCAATTTCATAAGGCTTATCATCGATGGAGGTGCAGATAGCAGGTTTGTTAGAAAAAGAAGAGATGCTACTATTACTGATCAAATTCCTGGCTGAATTAGCTTGAAAATGAAAAGATGGAGGAGAACAAGTTTGCATTTGCATCATGAAGTTGTTTGTTGGATAAGATGATGATGAGATAGAGAGAAGAGTTGAAGGAGAATCTCCATTAGAATCATTGAAGGAAGAAATATTAGGGTTTGGTGAATGATAAAAAAGGCACAGTCCAGCATTAACAAGCTCTGGCGGAGGGATATGTATGAAAGGAGAAGAAGGATGATGAGAGGAGGAATTTAACAGTGGTTGATTTTGATGGAGACGAGCACGGTCGCGGCGGTGGACGTTCATATGACCGCCAAGAGCTTGAGCTGATCGGAACTCTCTTCTACAAAAAGTGCAGGTGTAGGATCTTGGTGGCCATGTTGTGTTCATGATGTTCCTTGTGTCTTCGGCAAAAGCTCTTACCTCCCATGAATCTTCATCTTCTTGTTCTTGATGTTGTTGTTGTTTAGGGTTCCACATCCAAGTTGATGATGATGGTGTGGTGGTGGTGGTGGTGTTAGGGTTTGATTGAGATTGTGATTGTGATGATTTTTGGATCTGAGTACAAGTCATGGAAAGAAGGGCAATATCTGTAGCCATGGTACTATCACTGACATTTAAGATAGAAAGATATTGGTGATGGAGGATGAAAATGAGATTAAAATAATTGCTTATTTAAATACTTGAGGATAATATATTAGTATTAATTTAGGAAGACAAACTGAAACTTTAAAACATCAAATCGAATGTATCACCCATTAATAAATTTGATCTTGGAACATAGTGAGATTGACACTATGTTACTGGTTATATTAAAAAAGAAAACTACTATTTTAATAATGGTAAAAAACAATTATATTTGGTTTTAATAAATTGTTATTTCATAGAACTAGCTAGCTTAATAAAGACAATTCTTTCCTTTGGCATCTACGCCATTGAAGGCAAACTGTTTATTAAATTTGACATAAGATATTCAAAATGTAAAAAGGTTAATCAATAATATTAGTTATTTATTAAAAGTTTTTATTGATTAGTAATTGAATTGAATAATAATATTAATTATATTTTATTTTAATATTAATTATGTAATTCAATTATATGAGTTCTATAAGTGCATGTTAGAATAATAAAAAAATTTACTTGATTATTACTCTATAAAATTTAATTGAAAAAATTAATTTGTCATAAATTAATATTTCATAAATAATAAGTTCATTAAAATTTCAAGTTATTGTATAATTAATTATTAAGTTTTTTAATCAACAAAATATTTTTTTAAAAATTGAATCCAGCACAACATTCTCAGATGAAAGCTAAAGAGTTACAAACACTGCACAAGCAAGTAGCATAAAAGCAGGCCGAAAAAAACAGCAAGGAAAAACAACAGTTCGTGAACATAAGGAAAAAACTTAGATAGATATGAACCTAATATTTAGCTTTATAAACCATCAATTATAATTTTTTATTAATTAAAAAATAAAAATAAAATATTTTCTCTCTTTCATTATTACAACCACCTCATAATTCTAATTAAAAAATAAATTAAATTTTAAATGAATTTAAAACTTTCTCTCTTTTTTATTGGTTATTTCTAAGAATAAAGATTTAAATTCATTTTCATGCAAATTTTTCTAGTGAACATAAACATAAGTAGGACACCGGTCAACTAGACAAAATTTGAAATTGTAAATAGGCATCAACATTGATTCACTATATAGCATGGCAAGTGGTGTCTCAAATTAATATTCTTATTTAAAAAATAATTTGTAATTTATGATTGATTTAATATATATATATATATATATATATATATATATATATATATATATATATATATATATATATATATATATATATATATATATATATATATATATATATATATATATATATATATATATATATATATATATATATATATATATATATATATATATATATATATATATATATATATATATATATATTTTAAATGTTTGAAGATAAATCTTTACTATCTTTACTAAAATTAAATTTGAAAGTAATAAAATAATAGTTCTTTATTAAATATGATATGGTTGATCATTGACTTAACAGAAATTGGAGTTTGATTAGCTAGTTAGTCTTTTCTTGTGTTTAGTGGTTTGGGAACGGTTAGTTAATTTGCTTTTGTCACAACATTTGGGTTGGTACTACTCTGTTGTGTGTATCTTTTAAGCGTTTATTTCATGTTTCTAAATTAAAATCTCAGGTGGTGAGCTCTTTGGGAGTCTGGGAGGGGGACGTTTAGGTGGAGGAGTCATCTCCTGGTTTGGTAGGAGGAGCTTATGGAGTCGTTACGTGGTCTCTAAGAAGGGTTGTTGAGGTTTGGTCAAAAGGGTGTTTGGATTTATAAACCATACTCGACAAGTGGCTTTTCGGTGAAAACTACTTATGGAGAATAGGCCTAGCACAGGGCATCAGGAGATTTATAGGATTTACTAAAGTTGGACGCCTTCCATAGTGGTAGTGTTTTTCTGAAAGCTACTCCAGCAAAAGCTTCCGACTAGAAAAAAAAAATCTTCTTAGATGTCAAATTGTGTCAAGTGGTGGTGAAGTGGAGTGTGATGTGTGTGACAGGCAAGTGGGGACCGTTGATCATATATTTTTATTGTGCGAGGTCGCTTCAACTATCAGGTCTAGAATTAGGTGGGTGTGGCATTCCAATCCTTTGCTGAGGTTGGTGTTAAGGGTGTTTCAGTTGTTCTTAGGTTTAGGGGGAGAAATCGGTGTCTTTAGGTCTAGTCTCAATTTGACATTGTATGGTATAAACTATTTGGAATATGTGGAATAAAGATTTTAGACAAGATGGTTTGACGGTTAATCACTGGATATCTTGGATTATCAACTTGATATGGAAGTGAGCTCAAACTCATGCTCTAGGTTTTATCATTTTTTTGCTTAACTGGGAGCAGGACCCGATCAAGAGGCTGAGTATTTAATGGTGTGCTTGGTGGCAATTGTCCACCTTTTATTTTGGCAAATGCCTGGGTTTTCCTCCCTCCAATTTGTGCTCTCCGAAGATTTGTTATGCTTGTGGTTAGAGAATATCAGATCAGTGGATGGTTGTTTTTTATGTTTCTTAGAGTGATCTGGTGGTTGGTTTTGCCTTGTTGTTTTCATATTTTGTTCGGTTGGCATGGGGAGTCCTCTTTGTGTGGATTTCTTGGACTATGGTGTCTCCAATTTTGTTTGTTTGGATCAATTTTGTGCATTGCTTGTGTGTTTGGTTTTTTATGTGTATATTTGTTAACTTTATTTTTATTAATATATGGTTCTTATATTCCTATAAAAAAAATTGTCAAATAATTTTTTATTTTTTTTAAAATAATAAATTATTAGTAATTAGCATTATATTTACTCCTTCACAAAATATTAAATTTTAAACTTACAAAATCTTTAACATATAATTCAAGTACTTCTAAGTTGCCACATAGTTGTTTATGAGGTGTTAGCTCAAATTTTAAAAGAAGATTGGATCATCAACCCCAATATTGAGACAATACTAGAATGAAAAGAGATGGAAATACTAATGATGAGTCATCAACGTTTTTTTTTTTACCTCCTTTCTAGATGACTGCGGTTCTAAGAATATATGTATGGGTTTTTTAGTCAAATTGGGGACCAAGATGAGGTTCTAATTACAACAAAGTAGGATAAGTGGAGAAGGAGATATGATGTTGTGCGTTTTTTCAACGTGAAGGATCTAGTTTTTCTAGCAACAACATTGGATAATATTTTTCTATGTTCCAAGGAGCTCTTTGTTAATATTCTGAGATTTAACAAGGACGATACTCTAGGCTTGGGGCACATCACAGTTAGGGGCCAAGCGAAGATTAGACTGGGGAATAAGGAGTTTCGTAACATTGCTCAAACCAGAGGTTATGTCATCATCGTCAACATGGTTGTAAGAAAGGTGTAAGATCTCATGCTCATGTAGTCCAAGAAGACAATCTGCGTGCAAGTCATCAAGCTAAAATTAAAGTAAAACGACCATGTGTAAAGTAGGAATATAATGCTCCTATTGCAGATATGAAAAGATTTTCAAAATATTTGATTTTATTAGTTAAGAATTAGAGATTGACATGCAACATTCAAGAGGTGTTCAATTTAGAGAGTTATTATATGATTAAAGTCACTGCAATGGGAGCAAATATTTGTGTGTTGGAGGAACATTAGGAAGGAGAAATGGAAGTTCTGCTATCAGACATAAAGAATTGGTTGAGCAAATGGTTCAAGAAAGTTAGGGAATGGTTTGCTTTTGATGAAGATAAATTCATGTGTATTTAACTTCGTTGCTTTGGAGTTCCTTGTCCCACCTAGAAACTATATTTTTTTTTGAAGGTGTAACTAAAAAAATGGGAGTTTAATTGTGTGCTAATGATAACACTTCAAAGAAAGTATCTTTTGATGTGGAAAATCTATTTGCTGGTGAGAATTATGTTGTGAGAGTCTATGAACGAGGTTGGTTGTGTGAAAATCAATAGAGAAGAGTTTAGTATCAAGATGGTTGAGGAAGCTTAAGGTCCACAAAGCTTGCTTTCCAAAAGGATTATTCGTCAAGCATATACATCGGAATCAGAGTTATATTCTGCTGAATGGTCCGAAGATGAAATGGTGACGGATTGGAGGGCAAAGGTAAATATGCCATTTCTATTAGTAGGTTTGAAATGGAGGAAACATGAAAAAATGTTAGGGAGACAAGAAAAGCAATCATGAATGGTTAGGTGACACAATTTTATGCAGGGTTGTATGAACTTAGCATATCAGAAATTCCAAGAAAAGATGGAAGATCTTTTCATAAGGTTTCAAATAGTAATAAGACAAAGTCAAGAAAATTTTATGTGAACTCTAAATCTTTTAAAAAGCAAATGGGTGGATCTAAGGGTGACGTGTTCAATTCGACATACTAACTTAAATTATAAGTTAATATATTTTAATATTATACTCGAATAGACTTCGACTACAGCATACAAAACTCCTGTTGACCATGAAGTTATCTTTGTCGGCATTAGACTTCGATCTAAATACCACAAGCTCTATTTGGTAACGGTCTTTTTATCACAAATTAATAGCATATTTTACTAACTTATAACTTATTTTCCATACAAAATAGTGTTTTAACTTATAACTTATGGCTTATCATTTTTTTCCTTTCACTTTAACCCTTATTATTTTAATAAAAATTCCGTTTTATCCTTTGTAATTTATTTTAATTTAAAATAAAATAAAATAATTATGTATTAAATATCTTTTATGTCATTTTACATTTATAAGTTAGTTTTATCAAATACACCAATTAGTTTATCAAATAATATTAACCATCAGCTATAAACTATAAATCATTTGTCATCAATCATGAACTATATAAGTTATCAGCTAGCTAATCAATCAACCGCTATTTTTATCAAATAAAAACTTATATATTAATAATAAAATTATATAATAACGTGATAATTATGTGTTAAATAAAAAATATTTTATACACAACTATATATTACTAAACTACCATAAACATTATTGTTTTTAAAATCCTAAAGAAACAGTAATTAAATTAAAATAAATAATTTATATTCTATTTA